CGTAATGTGAGCAACGGACAACAACAGGAAATTTTGAAAAAGTTCAAAATGTGCCCCTACCCACTCGAAACGTTCTGGAAATTTTGGTTCAAGTTTGATGGTTTTAAAAGTTTTGCATGAAATTTATTTCTCAACTGATAGAAACAATAAGTTCTTTGTATGTTTGCATGGCGAGAAAATATATAATAGTTTTGTTTGTGGAAACACCACGTAAATTTATTACTTACTGCAAAGCTTTTGATCCGTAAAAATCCGAAAGATCCGGACTTACGGATTGAAAGCTTTGCAGTCATAAATTTATCTGGTGTTTCCAGAAACAAAACTATGATAGAAACAAGTTTCAAACTTACTTTGTTCTTCGATTTCTTCTTTGAATATTTCATGTAGTGGTTGAAGAAGTTTCGGTAAACCACAAAGATTCTGAAAATTTACCTACAAATTAGATACAGAATAATTTCCTTCAGCCAACAACTCCGGAGGTGCATGGACAGTGTCTTTTGCAGAATTTAATTGGTTGCTGAGCTGCGGAAATTTGGCATTGTTGGATTGGCTGAAACGGCCCCGCTTCCACATGCGCTTATAGTATTATGTTACCAAACAACAGAAATAAATCCATTGTCAGAAATTACAGCCATGCAAAGGTTTGAATAAAATAACTGCATAGTTCAATATTTACAATCTACTGTAAATTACCTAATTCTTGAATTAATTTTATAATGTGGCAGAAAATCTATAGTATGAAAATGTGTAATAGTGATTTTTTTTTATGTGTTGGTGTAATGTACTCACCTAGGTGAATATGTTTGTGATGTTACTCTGAGTGAGTATCCACAACTGGCAAGCTTGAAAAATATGCCTGGCCACAGTGGGAATCGACCCCACGACCTTTGGAATACTAACCCAATGCTCTGCCAACTGAGCTGTGGTCAGGTTAAAAATAGCCTGCGAGCAGGCTCTCTCTCTGGGTAAAAGAGAGCCTGCAAGAATTCCTATGACTGCATGCCGCCCTTCGATTATGATGTCACAGGTCAATTAATAACAACCAATCAGCACAGACCGGAAATACACTTCAATATTGTAAACATAAACCGATAAACGTTGAACTCCTTTTATATTGTATTCTTTCGTTTATAGTTTCGTATAGAAACTGCCACTGGGGCATACTAAAAAAGTTAAAACGGCTCGAGGTTTTACAGTGTAATATATCAAGTTGTACTTTTTACTACAATTTGCATGTGTTTCTGTAGGCACAGTAAGTTTAAAGTTGTATATTACCTGCTAACTAATTCAGTTGTTTGGAATTGCTTCATGCTGCAATCGGCAATAAAAATATATATATCCAGTATAGTAATAAATTAATAAATATAACTTACTGAAATTTATGGCTTTGGTGAGACATAGACATATACGATATACCATGGACATTGGAAATAATTTAATAATATGTTTATAGTTCAAATTTTGCAACAAAAGGTGGAATTACAGTAAACATGCATGTGATAATTATTGTAAACAAAGTCACAAGTAAATTACTGTACATTTTAACGCTGCATACTTATAAATATTAAATAGTCAGTATAACATTGTAAAACAAGCTTAATCCAAAGAATATGCACTGAATATTATCAGAATAATTCTCAATATTGTTGCATGAAAGAGAAGCAATATAATGCCTTGTCCCTAGGTTTCGATTTGCGAATTTGTTCAGTCTTTTCTTAGCCTAGAAGTCAGACAAGCACAGGACACTCAATAAAGCATGCAAGCTTTTAGTATTTGTCTTTATATGAATACTATATTAATTTACAGTAAAAAGTCAACAAGGATACAAAATACATGACACTTTTATCTCTATATTGCAGCAATTCCGAAGCTTTGCGTTGCTCGGTTTTACAAACGGGAAGTGTAGTTTACGGAAGCTTGTCAATCACTTCCTTTGAATCAGTTATCAACCAATCAGAGCTTTGCGTCCAAATATTGGACGCATGCACTTAAACATCATAGGGATCCTTGCAGGCTCTGTTTCACCCAGAGAGAGCCTGCTCGCAGGCTAGGTTAAAAATCATGATTACTAGATTGCATTGATATTGAAGGAACTAGACTCAGTTCGGAAATATCACATACTTGAAATGACCCGACAGAGTAGCTCAGTTGGCAGAGCATTGGACTAGTATTCCAAAGGTCATAGGTTCAATTCCCACTGTGGCCATGCATATTTTTTCAAGCTTGCCCAGTGTGGATATTAACCCATTGAGTTGTATTGCACCCTGATGAACCCTACTTTAGTATTTTACTCTGTCTAATGCCAGACGATTTTACTCGTCAAGGGGAGAGCGCTGGCGCTTAATGGGTTAACTGGCCTATCTGCCCATGTGTCTAGTTGACCCATTGAGTTGCATTGCACCCTGATGCACCCTACTTTAGTATTTTACTCTGTCTAACGCCAGACAATTTTATTTGTCAAGGGGAGAGCGCTGGCGCTTAATGGGTTAACTCAGAGAAACATGTGTATAATAATATTTCCAGGTATGTAATAGCCTCTTTTGTTTACAGCTGGTGCAGGAGCAGTAAAGTACAGTAACTCACACCAAAAAATTATATTGTAATTTGACTTACTTGCATGTGATCAAATGCAATCCCAACACAATCATTGAATTTTTCATTGAAAACTGGAATTTTTGGATAACGTTGACTGAAATGATTTAACAACGTAAATTTCGCTCGCATCTTTTGACCACACTGTATAGCTTCGGATGTTGTACTAGAAATGAAAAAGTTTAAATTACTTTTTAGGTTTTTGAAATTACGTGTGGTTTTCTCATGAGTGTGTAGCAGGTGTTTCTAATCTTGGTTTTCATTTGTTTCCATCTACCAAACTGACGTTGCATCATTTAAAGGGGAAGTCAAGTCCGTAATGTAAACAAACGGTTTGTTTACATTTTGAACTGCTGTATTTTTTAACTCATTAAGCGGCAAGCTGTTACAATGTTTCTACCCGCCTAAGGCGCAAGCAATATGGCGAATATGTGATTGAATTCAAGAGCTTTCACCAAAATGGCAATATCTCAGAAACATTTGCATAAAAAAATCTGATCTTTTCAACCAAACATTAGTGATATATGATTGACCAAATTTAGTTTAAATGACTTTGCATACCTACATATATCATTAGTTTTTTCAATGAGAATTTTTATTTGTAAAGCAGTGAC